TACGATCACCCGTCTTGCATATTGTTCATGACCTCACGAAATGACAACATTATATCAACAAGTTCATCTACTCAAAATAAACAAAATCAGTGGATATATAATCAATGGATTATATGATTCGACGAAGACTTGATGTTAATAAAAATGCGCGTTTCTTTCATCTATTTATAATTGCAAAAACTATACCTCCCACATATTGTTCCACTGCTCACTATCGCCATCGATGATTGGTGCGTCCAGAGCGAGGCCAGCGTTGTTTATACATACGTCAACGCCGCCCCACTGACCTTTGATCTTTTCAAACATAGCCAATATCTCATCCTGTTTCCGCAGGTCAACTTTGATTGGCAGAACCTCGCCCCGCCCAGATGATGAAACGCCATCAGAAAGTTTCTGGCGAGAAAAAATATCTTTTAAGTATCGAAATTATATTTTACCAGATACTTTTTGTCGATATTTTGTATTCAACAGCATATCTCTTTGAAATGACATTGATCGCATGATAGCAAAAGCACGGCTTGAAAATAGTGGGCACATCCAATGACATCTGCTGGAAGACATTATTCTCGGGTGAATGTTCTGATCTGTTTGTTTGTTGTTCACCTGTGAGCACCTGGGTGAGAATTATCTTCAGCAACCTATGTTTGTTCCAAACAGTGACTAAAGGGATCGGGTAGCCGGCTACCTGACTTGGATGATCCATGTCATCGTATCATAATTGCGTGGATCGATGCTCATGATGTAAATCGCTGGCTTGCCTGATCCAGATTCGTTTATTTCCAGACTGCCGTCATATTTCTGGAACATTGCTGAGTGTGACGTTAAACAAACAAACAAACATGCCTTGTACAGTAAGGAAGCGTGGTTCCTTCTCAGAGTAACATGTAGCCCGGCTCTGCAGCCTACCCTAACATTGAACCTAAATACCCTTAGGTCCGTGTTAGAGCAGAACTATAGGTCAATACTTCAGTGGCGCAGTGGTTTTGCAGCTAAACCGAAGACCTCGTACGTCACAGGTCAACTCCCGGGTGATCGAGGCAATCTTGGTAGTCTTTGGATTGGATTCATTTCCATCATGATACCCCCCGCCAACATAAAACGCCCGTGTCAACGGAACTTTGAAAGAATGTATGTATATTCTGAGGTGAAGTATTTAATAGTAAATATGAAAATGAAGGTTTATTCGTCTCTCACACCTTGAGTTTGTCCTCGCTTCTTGCACAGGCCACAACCTTCATTCCACGAGACGCAAGCAACTTCACAGTTGCCTCCCCCCTACTCCCATAGACGCACCTGTTACCAAGGCAACGCGACCCTGCCACCGATCCATATTGATACTGAAATGTGGAAAATCGACTTAGTTTCCTGCTTGTACATACTGTTAACGTGTGTTATATCAGTAGTTATATACGTATACTGATTGCTGCAAAGACCAACACCAGCAGCACCATCCTGTGAAAACAACAACAATCGTCAATAAGTTTGGTTAATTATATGAAACAAAAACAAACAAGTTAACAACAAAAAATACCTTCTGACTAATTATATCGTATTATTTGAAATAAAAATAATTGTTATACATTACAAGCCACCATAACTAACACAAAATCATACTTAATAACTGTGTAATGATTTGTGATTAACTATTACACCATTTAGTGACCGTTTTGTATGGAATGTGTATTTGTGGTCTAAGTGCAGCTGCATGACGTCGGCCAGTATATTATCGAGTCTGCACAAGGCTATCTAATGATCGACATTATGAACACTTTTCCACGATCAGCGACCCGACTGTGGTGCACGGGGGGGGTGTAAGGTTACCAGTATACATGTAGGTCTCTTCCGTGTCATTGTTCGTGCCTCTGGGGTCTAGAGAATACAGGCCGTTGGGTAGCCTAGTGGCTAAAGTGTTCGCTGGTCACGCCGAAGACGAGGGTCGATTCTCCACATGGGTACAATGTGTGAAGCCCATCTCTGTTGTTCCCCGGAGTGATACTGCTTGGGTATTGCCAAAAGCGGCGTAAAAACATATAACAACCACTCACTAGGTGGATATAGCGACAGAGGCGGGTGTTCGATACCCTGATCGCCTCATACGAGGATCATGTTAAAGATGCTACTTGTTACCCTAAATATAGGGGATGAAACACGGTCAGCTCGGAGTCTGGGTTGAGAAACCATGTTCATCAAATGGCGGCATACTCTCTCTCTGTGGGCGTGTCGTCGTAAATAGAAACGTCAAAATCCTTTCTACAGTCATAAGAAATCTCTGCCAAAAGCAGAGTCGATTGTACGTGACTATATCACCAGCAGATATTTGTTTCAGCAGTATTACAGCAGTATGCTGTTGTTTGTAAACAAATCGGGTCTGAACCAGACAATCCAGTGTGTTTATGAATCACAGTGATGATACCAGGTGTTCGCGAAATGGTGAACGTATGCTGCCCCACCGGAATCACCCGTCATGAAATATATGATGATACCAGCCTAGTTCATATGAATAAAGGTGATTCCAGCCAATGCTTGCGAGCACACCTTGGTAGGCAAAGTCGTCTAAACATATGCTGGAGTCTAGCCAGCCATACAACTGCAGTAGTTTTAACACGACCTTAAACCCCAGATGACATCACTGCAGGTAATTCTACGGTTCCATTTGTGAATGTTGAAGCCCTTCCTTTCCAGTTTATACAACTGTAGGCAGCATTAAAAACCCGCATGGCCTTTTAGTGTGGGTGACAGAAGTGAACCACTGACTAAAACTTTGATTAGAGAAAGAGTTGTTGTTGTGTTTGGTGCTTTTGAGGTCGCCTTCGCCGGTTGGCATGTCGGCAGACCTATGAGAAAGAGTCGCGGGGAGAGCTTTATATACTCGCGGTATTGATAATGAACAACGTTCGTATTTCTGTGGCGTCTCTAGCTTGTGGAATCGAACTATTCAACCAACAAACGTGCAGTATGCCAGTTTATATATTATACAACTGCCAATAATCGAGTTACAGTCCAGTGAAATCCACGCTGCCCGGGTACGATGACAAGATCTCAATGTAGTGGTCGAGGCAGATCACTGATCCGTTTAGTCGTCTCTTATGACTGAAGGGTTATGGACAATAACTATCACTCAGAATCTGCAACGAGCGTGGGTAGCGACGAACACCTGTGATTCAAACTGACCTCTGGGAGAATATTAAGAAATGTTAACACCATTATATTATTCTGCTATACACAACTGATGTATGACATGCCTTTCTAACACTGGACATAATGCATACAGTGTCTGCTATATTTATTTCCGGGTTATACAAACACCTCCTTCTGAACGTTAACACACGATGTGTGACAATGTGGTGTGCTGAACTACACGTGTGTTTGCTGTGTCAACCCGTCTACCTACCTGTGATTCACGTGCAGACTGCAGGCCGTTGTTTGCACCACGTGTACACTGACGTCAACACAAGTCCAGCATCGACCGGAACGGCACAGAACGAGGGATTTTAGTGCCGCTTCTGTCAATGAGGTGGGAAGTAACGATCTCCCAGTTCAGAGATCTCACATTTGTTTCAATATTGGGACACAATGTGTTTGTACATCATGTGACTGGAATAATGCTTAATTTTGAAGAAAGGAGAGATTAGATGAAATCTGTGTAAAGTTGACATCAAGCTTACAGTGCTAGTAAAACTGAGATACCATGCATGAGATGAGTATACATGATCAGTGTCTGGACTGGGTCCACGAACATGCCGAATCTATATCTTGTGCTGTAGATGAGTTAATTAGTATTGTATTAGTAAATAAATACCAATAACTATATGTTTACTGTTATGGACCATTGATACTGCTATTCCTGTGAGTGGTTGTTCAGGTAGGTCCCCAGTGCACTGCTTTGCAGGGGGTTATTTTGCAGTTAAGATGGCTCTGACCTGCTCCCATAGTCTGCAGGTGTCCCTGAAGAGACATATATTTATTATATGGTCTCTGGTTAAAGCCAATAATTCCCGATGAACAAAACCTAACTACATTTGGGTGCAGACATAGTTTGTGCAGGAAAGGGATTTCATCACACTACCAGGTCATACCAGTCATGGCAAAGATTAGATTGTGCACAGGCGGATACAGTGGGAAGGTGCTGGGGTGCGCACCCCATTTGTCCTGAAATTTATTTTAACCATTGAAAGGCATCGTTCGCACACACACACACACCACCACCACCAAAAAGCTGTATTCGCCCTTGTTGTGTATTACCTCAGCCAACCAGCAGTAAACTGAGATGGTTGATCAAAGTGAACCACCCATATGCCACTGCTTTGAAAGTCTTTCAATTCTGTCACATGGCCTGGGCCTAATGAATAAGAAAAAACCCAAAGTGATTCAGGCCTTTTATATTTATCACTTGGCCAAATCCATGAGCATGGTTGTGGTGTGTACAAAACTAGAATCAAAAGTTAGGTGGAATTTTGATTCAAATCCTTTGTCATATAGGTTCATGGCACACAAAAGGGAAGCAACTCCATATAGCAAAGACTGATTGTGTTTCTACAGATTGCTGTACAGGAAGGATTGATTTTAGATTCGTAGAGTGCATGTGAGAAAGATGCAGATAACAGCCATCATTGTCTTGCAGCCAGGATTAGCAAAGGATCAAAGATGATATTCAAACCCAGACCAACACACACACACACACACGCACGTACGCACCAGACACACACACACACAGAGCAAAGGAAGTCAACTCTCTTCCTGGCGTGTTGAAATGCTGACCATGTAACTATCTGAGCAGTCAGTTGCACAGCTGCATTAAACACAACTGAGTGAATGAGTTTAGTTTTACGCCGCCTTCAGCAATATTCCAACAATATAAGGGCAGGGGACACCAGAAATGGGCTTCGCACATTGTACCCATATGGGGAATTGAACCCGTGTCTTTGGCATGACACGCGATTGCTTTAAGCACTATGCCCCCCCACCACCCTACAATGAACATGACATCACAACAGTGCTTATTCTGTTTGAATCACCTTTATTTATATCAGTTGGATCAGATATATTTGGTTTCATTTTTTCACAAAACTCAATTTTTCAAATAAGTCTATAGCACTAAATCAACAACTTTTACCAAATTAAAATTAATCTTATTGAACATGGATAAAATAACAATAAAGTCTTGTCAGGTAGCTTCTTCAAAATTAACAGACATAAATCTGAAACTGGCCATAAATTTTGTATCTAGAAATGCGTCTTGAGTTATTAAATATGCATTTTTGACAAGGAATAATTGCATACGGTGGGTGAAAACTGCTGAGTAAGTAGTATTTTATAGTCATTACAACTGAAAATACTATGAAAACCAAGGATTATACTTCTCTTGATCCATATCTAACACTTGCATCCATAATTTTGTTCACAAATGTATTAAAATGTCATAATAAAATAATTCCCATATGTTGACAGTTCTCTGGAATCCAAGAAACATCTGTACATTTCATTGAACAGTGCACAGAATCTATGAAAATGACAGATTAAAGAACAAACACAACACACAAAACAAATATGCATTTGAAATACGATAACCCCTTGCCAGTTTCCAAAACCTTAAGGTGTCTGCTGGTATAATGCTGTGCTTCCTGAGCAACTGGAACTTGTTAATACGGCCGTTCAACCACATAATCTGAGTCAGTCTATGGCCATATTAGTGCTGATGAGACATCACTGGAGGTCCATCACAGATACGTCATTATGTGTCGAACAAAGACAGGACTAATGCCAAGACAACTTTCTACTACGATTAGATTGTTTGTGTGTTTGTTATTTCATGCTACAGTCAGCAGTATTCCAGCTATATGTAAATAACTGTGTCTTGACCTGTCAATCCAGACATCAGGAGTATCTATCTACACGACACGATGACATGCACCACACAATCATGTGGGTGGCCTCTTATGACGATAAGATTGGGTTCCTGAAGACTAATATTCTTACATGGAACATCACTGGGGAATAAAACTCATTCATACATACTGACCGACACTGGCTGATATAGCTATATCTCACCATGTTACAATTTTAGGGAATACTCAAATTAATATTTTCTATGTACATGTTAAAAGATAAGCCCACCAATTGGTCGAAAAAATGATGTTTTCTTACATGTTCTTTTCACATATGTTTACATAAAAAAATTTAGTTCTTATTAATTACACTATTAGGCTTATTAAGCAAAATTATGAAGATTGTGAGTGATTTGCCTGTATATGGCGCCTGTCATCAAGAGTGGGAATATGGCACAGTAGTACTTACCACAATAAAATGCACACTAACACCCTTGTTTTGAAACTGGCAAGGTACATCAAATCTCTTAATTCTAAAACTCTCAGAAAAAGTAAATAATCTGAATACAGACATATACATATTCCTTCATTGGTCTCTACTCTGTCCAACAAATCAATCTTAACATCACTAACACTGCCATAAGTGAGTGAGTGAGTGATTTTAGTTTTACGCCGGACTCAGCAATATTCCAGCTATATGGCAGCGGTCCTGCTGTAAGTTTAAGTTAGAGTAAGGAGCTACAACCACTTAGCACTAAGATAGCTTTACAGACCAAGGGTTGCAATCACTTTAGCGCTAAGAAAGATTTGTTGACTGGGTCTGATCCTGAATAATTTTACACAATCATTTTACTTGGCCTTATCCACCCTGACTCGTATTAAATTCCATAGAATGAATTTCACAAATATTACAAATTCCTTCGTGACAATGTTGACAAGTTTCACAAAGCCATCTAACATCTCTATCATGTCTTGAGTTTATTTAAAAGTAAGGAGCTAGAACCACCTTAGCACTAAGACAGCTTTGTGGACCTGGGCCTAGATTTTCGAAGTTCTCTTAGCGCTAAGATAGTCGTAAGTTAATATTAATGTATGGCACTCACGACTATCTTAGCGTTAAGAGAGCTTCGGAAATCTAGGCCCTGGGTCTGATCCTGAATTATTTTATACAATAATTGTACTTGGCCTTATTCACACTGACTCGTATTAAATTCCATAGAATGCATTTCACAAATATTACAATCTTTGTGCATAACTTCATCGATTCTTGGTTAATTCTAGGCATTATTTACATATGCACAATATCAACACTATACCAACATACAGATTTCAACAAGAAATGGGTTAAACAGGGAATACCTGCTTAATGCAGAACATCTGGAACCTTCATTCATCATTCTTTCATTCAATCAATGAAACATCTAAGCGAGATACAATTAATCATTGTCAACATCATAGAATAATATTCGGTAAATATTGCAGAATTGACATGGTATAAAAGTAACATATTTTGTATAATTTCAACCAGGTTTCATTAGATTAATTGAGTCAGATGCAATAATTCTGATGATAAAAACATCATATAGTGGAATGCTCTGATATGTAGGAAGAGCAATCTAAACAAATATCTCTACATGAAATGGAATGTTTGTTCTGTGTTAAGTGTACACTTCACAGGGATTACAGGGTTATCTCCCTTGGACTGATTGCCTGCAAGGCTAGTGATTAAAAAAATGGGAATAGGTGAACACATATTTATTGAGTATCATCATTGTCAGGTAACATGTATTTTATCTATCATGTTAATCAACTCAAATGTTTAATCAATTACAGGTGAGACAAATTTGGTTTGATCAGGTTCACGCAGTACCTGATTGCAATTAATAAGTCAAAATTAAGTTATTAAGTACTTAAAGATGTAATAAATATCTGCTTCTACTGCTTGAATGATCAGAATTTCATGGCTGTTGTATACACTGTGTAGTAGTATATGCAGTGTATGCAAACACATAAAGTACTGAGAATGACAGCATATTGAAGGGTGACATGTGCCCTTGCAGTCTTTTAACACATCCATCATCGCTGCACTATCATTTGTATTACCGTTATTACAGCTAGTTAAATTTAAGATGGAAACACAGTTTTCAATAAAAACAATTTTACTTGAAACAATACAAAATGGTGACTATCACAGAAAATTAACTTTATTTATTTGTAAATTGCACATTTTAACATTAACGTGAACACTTAAATTCTTTCTATCTAAATATTGTCAGTTAATGTAAGTTAGTGGGAATACATATCTAAAATTATGATAAATATTTACAGTCTGACTTCTAATAATACTGTTTCATGGTCTTTAATGACCGGACCTGCTACAATCCTCTACACCTTTAACACTAACAGAGTGGAGGAAGCGGGTCTGAAAATGCAATAAAACGTGACATGGCCTATATATCATGATAATGATATCATTGGCAGAAATATGACGAATTTTCATAAAAAGAAACATTCTTGGAGAAAAGTTACCTATCGTTGATTGGCAGTAATGAATAACATTTCCAATGCTGATGAGAAACTAGAGCAGCCTTATGATTCAGGTATGTGTAAGAATTTGATAAAATCAAACTGAAAGTAAGAACATGTTTCCAGATTGAAGGTAAGAAAAGATATATTCAGTCATAAATCTAAAATCTGGTCTTTTCAATTTTCCCATTTTTCTTCTCCCTTGTACTAACACTGTGTTATTGTCCTGAAAATAAATCTGTTATTATCTGTTATAAATCTGTTAACTACCATAGTTCAGTTGGGAGCATGACCTTTGCTGAAGGATGGGCACCAACAGTTACACAAGGTAACAAGGCTAGTTTAGTACCACTCGACAGTCACCGGAATCACTGGAGAGACTCTCCACTGAGTATTTCAAATTGATTTTTGTCCCTACACTTCCCCCTTCATCAAATTTCTTGTCCGTGTGAAATGTGATTTAAAATAGCTTTACAAAAAGATCGAATACAACCCTGAAGCCCCAAATGTTTTTTAAACTAAAAAAAATCAGCTATAAGAAGGATAACTAAATTTGTAGTCAAACATCAAAATATTGAACATCACTTAAACAAATTTTCTCATATAACCAAAGCCCAGAGTCAAATTTCCAAGTCCAATCCAGCTCGATACAACACAATCAATCTCTGTCTTGATCAATAAATGTAATTTGAGAGTGAAATACATAACAGTATTTTACAAGCTATTTGGTAGTAACTCAGCTGGGGTTACTGTGATAGAGTGTTTCCTGGCTTCCTGGCTTCTTAATTGTTTACATTGGTCTGAGCTGAAGTTGAAAATACAACCATGGAAATACATTGATCATTAGGGGGAGGCGACCTCACAGCAGATTGTTGTATGGAAAACTAGCATTTTATATTTCATGGATATTTATGAACAAACTATCTTTATCAAGGATATTAAGGAACAGATTTTTTTTTCGTAAAGGCAATTTGGAAACAGATTAAGTTTTGACAAGGATATATTAACAGAATACTCATCAAAACATTACAGCATAGATATACCATGACAGTCACCATTCAAAACTTGGGTACATTGGGATCTGAGATGCTACTTTCCGACTACAGAATATATGGTAGTTGACGTACATCAGTAAAAACCTTGAAACACAAGCATACCGATGTAGAGAATTAGAAATAAAACATAATTTTTCTAACAAAAAAAATAATTTGGTTTTGAAAGACAATAAATTTTCACCTGAACAGAATGCTTATGTTTTGCTCATTTACTGAGAATTCATGGGTGTTTCTTTATTAAGACATCAAGGTGTGATGGTGCTGAAAGTCTCAATAACAAGATATATATCACAGATGTTTCCACTTGTGACACTTTGCATCAAGAAGAAGATGCAATGCAGAAGATGCCAAAATATCACTATGGGAATTAAACCTGGAACATCTCTCCAAGAAGCAAACACATGACCTGCTGGGCCACCACAAGGTTCTTGCTCCTAGCATTGCTCTCACCAAGCTAATCCCAGAGAGCAACACTGGTATATAGACTATATCAGTAAGATCTGAATTAACAAGGAAGGGTAAGTGATTACACAGTTGGGACGGACACAATCACATGGTGTGATCTAACACTGGACGTTACTTCACAGCTGCAAGCCGTATCACACAGCAATCAATACCATCAGTCATTTCACTTACGCATTAATGAATCATGAAAATTCAAGCACAGAGCCAGACTGCCTACCTATCGAGAAGCATAAAAATAGTGCAATTCAACAAATTAATCATGACATTGGCAACTAATCTTGCCACCAAATATTTTTTCTACCATTAAATGAATATGCAGGGCAGATAATCAAATAGATTCTATTATGTGTTTGATGGTGTTGTTATGAAAATGTCCTTGTCGGTCGTAATTCCAACATATGTTCGTTATTGTTAGTGAGGAATTTGCATTGATTCTTATTATTGAGTGCCATAAAAAGAGAGACCTGTCATGAAAATGTCAAATGTATTTGATAGTTGTAATTCATACAATGACTTCAAGTTAATTCACCAAGATTACCATAAGTTCGGAACATCATTAATACTCTTAAATGAAAATTGTCATAATAGGGGATTAAAGTGCAGCCATATAATTTTGTCAGTGAAAACATAAAATGTTATTGGCGCCTTCTGACATTTACTTGTATCGATGTTAAAGACATGTTCATGGCATATGATAGGTTCTTGCAATTTATTTTACCTTAGATTGACTCATTATACCAATAACGGAATTGCTGAATCGCATGTAGTTCACATTACTTTAGCTTGACATTAAAGACTTATCAATGGCACAAATGACTGGAAACCATTGTTTATTAGAAGTTCATATTCTTGAATAATATCATATTGATGAAGAACGGCATTAATGGTTGGAAAAGTTCAAAAAGTTTCCTGAAAAGAAACACCTGGGATGTAAATGTTCCTTGAGACAGAAACAAATCAATCCTTAAGCTGGGAGTACGATGCTCTCTGTTTACAGGGCCAATCTTATTGAATACCTGGCTCAGCATCCAATCTGCCAGTCTGAGAGATGCGGGAGAAGGATCTGCCTCCTTACCAATGTTTACCTAGGTCATTATTGGCTTTATTGAAAACCTTGGTACCAGCTGGTCTCACACACCCAGTCTCCAGGAACAACTGTTTGGTCTGGTGCTGTAGGTTACCATAGTAATCCTGGAAATTGGTAGTTCCATGGTTGGTCTCATTGTGGAATATGTCAGATGGCAGGGACCTCAAAACCTTGACATTGTATTGTCTTGAACACTCCAACAATCCGTAACAGCCTGGTGCTGTGTGTTGATAAAAGCGATTTTGGAAATGGTTGCTCCATGGTTGGCCTTATTGTGGAACATGTCAGATTGTAGGGGACTTGAAAACATTCACGCTAGATTGTCTTGAACACCCACTAACCAGATATGGCAGGCTGATAGTCTGCTGCTGTGGGCTGGTAATGGTGATTTCTGGAATTGGAAGACCCCATGGAAGGGGTGGGTTGGTAGACTTGACTTCTGTTCGATGTTGTTATTTCCTGTCCATACAAAGCAGCCATTGTTGTGGGTCTTGTGCTGGGAATGCAACTGTCTGGACCATGTTTATCCCCTGTTGTGAATCACTGTACTGAGTCCTGCAGTGCTAGTAAAATTCTGTCCGAAACAGACAAACGTGATACAAAACCTGGGGCTGTCATCTCTTAATCCTACATATTATATAATTTTGCAAATCAGTTCAATTTCTTCAGATCATATTTATTGCTGTGGTAATATTTTATTTCTGTACAACTGGTCACCATTTCCAACAGTCGATACAAACCATGCCTTTCAGAGCTAATCTCACTGTCATACAAGCTGTCACAGCTGACCCAGCTGAGCAATGAAGCTGAGCATTAAATCAAAGAAAACATATAACAGTTTGGATTAATTAACTGAGGGAAAGCCATAATTTTAGTAATATCAGTTTCAGTAGACATTCACTGCCATCAAAAAATAATAATTTTCATGAAAATTTCAATACGGTAACATATACTATTCAACATTTGCTAAGGATCACTTTAAAGATGACTATATAGATACTTAGCAAACATTGAGTGGTATAATTGAATTTAAGGAGGATTTCTCCTGTAATCATAATAGTATACACACAGTACTAGTAGCCATTACAAGTGTAAAATAACATTTTCTGGAAATTGTGAGAACAAAAGATAGGTTTAGACATTCAACAGTTAGCTTCTCTTCTTGTTCTTGGTCCAGCCTTGCTGTGAGGGCAACTTGCCTGTACTTGATCAGGTAACTACCATCCACTGATGTTTGGGTTGATGCTTCCAGCACAAGGGTATCATCCACCATCGGTGTATTAACTATCACACATTCATTCAGTCATCAGTCTTCACTCCACACAAAAATATTTGCATCTGTGTCTATGTACAGTTGTAGATATACATCTTATGCTGTCAGCCAAATGCATCCTCTGCTGGTGGGACGTAGGAAAAGCCCTCGAACACGCCGTCTGCCTCCATGACACTAGCGCTGACTAGCTTGCAGCTGCCTGCTGACCGGCCAATAGAAGCTGTGAAGAGAATGGGCAGCATGACATCACTTGAGAGCTTGAAACTAAATAAACATGTTGATAAGGGCAATAAATTGTGATGAATTATTTATTTTTACCACTTAAAACAACAACATAATTACACCTTGAAATAACTACAGTGACAGTTGCAGATGAGATGGGTAGATTGAGACACATTCCACAAAGTGAACTCACACTAGGATTGTCATCTGTAAATATCAGCATGGGTTTGTGATTGTCTTAGCACTAAGATGGGTCTGTGGAACTGAACACATCCATATTTACCTAATGGTTCCACAGTAACTTACCAGATATGGGCTCACGAACAAATTCTGGGTCAAAATGTTTTAAGTCCAGCTGGCCGCTCTGAAACAAACAAAACAGTAGATTAAGCAACAATATCCAATAATTTTGTTATTTGGGGAATGGGGTATGATTTCGAACCAGTATCAAGTAATATTGTTAATGTCTGCTTCTCCACTCACCACATTGGGGTTGTACGGAGGTTTGACCTTCCTGTCATCAAGGTCAGCCCAGTTGATTTCTACGAAGAAGGCATGGTTTTGAATCTCCTGGAAGTCTCGCTTGGCACCAATGCGATTCTCCTTCTCTTTTTGAAGTAGCTGAGAGTAAACAGATTATCATCATCATCATCATCATCATCATCATCATCATCATTGTTGTGATACATCATCATACCCATCCACCCTATGTTTATCATCAACTGCATGTAAAACCTTGATTATCCCCAGAATGAGTGAGTGAGTGAGTGAGTGAGTGAGTGAGTGAGTGAGTGAGTCTTAGTTTCCTGTGGGAAGAAAGCCCTAAATGATCCAGATGTTATATTATATGTTTACTACTTTTGTAAACACACCAGTATGGTGCAGACAAACCTTGAAATAAGCAGGATGAACAAGGGTAGGACCCAATGATCACATTATCCCCATAGCTAATCACAACTAGCGCTTCAAGACGTGCAAACATAGTTGACAAGTGACGATAATGGGTCCCAAATGCCTGATTTGCTCTGATGATGAACCTTTGCTGCACATGCTCACTGGTTTCATCAAAGACGTATGTCAGCCTCATTGTGAGCTTACTCCCAGAATTAACCTCACAGAAAGTAAGATGAATGAATTACCACTAAGCCTGACTGACTCACTCATACACTGACAAGCAAATTTAAATGCACACAGGTAAATTGGATATAAAAAGTCCAAAGTACACCTATTAAAACCATTTCAAATATATAAACCATTTCTTGTTTCGAACACTTTTTGCCACAATCACACATGGGGTTAAGTTGTTTGTAGCTGACTGTTTATATCAATCAAATTAAATTTTCATGGTCGTGAGTCGTACATCCAAATGTATCTGCAAGGATTTTTTTCAACAGATTCTACTGATTTCTCCAGAAATATTTGATCTTTGTGACCTACCCCTTCTAATATAGACCGGGCAGAATAGGAGACATTGGTGCGCAGTCGAAGAGGTTTATACAGGATGTTGTCGTACATCTCCGCAGTGTCGCGACTGTAAAACGGAGGCTACAAAAAAGAATGTGGTTGTGATGAAACAACTTCGTTATTGAGGCTGCATATTGGAAATCCATCTCTGATATGCCTCACAAGGATGCAATTATACCTGAAACTTATCAAATCAGTGCAAGAGAGGTTATCCGTCATAAAGGTAACTCAAAATGATAAAGCCTTGCATTCCATTGTATCTTAGTCACTGTTTATGATAGCTCCGCAAATAGAATCAATTCTTATATTGATTAAGTTATTGTTAGCTTCAACTCCAATCCAGGATTAAGATATCTGTATGACAAATGAATTGGACAGACATGCCATAGATTAATGTAAGATAAATGTATTGCATAAACTTTTCATGAAATTATATTTTTTGTTGAATTATTTTTCTTCCAATAATTGCAAGAAGGATCTTTACACATTAATAAAAATGCCTTTCAGTTAATTTTAACTGACAGTCTGAATGATTGTATTTTTGCTTCTTTGTTGTTTAAAGATGCACTTAACAATATTCCATGTATTGACATCAGACAGTATATAATCAAATCTGGACTAGACAATCCACTGATTGATATTGTAAGCAACAGTCTATGCACTCAAGGTACAAAGACACAGTTTGAACCAAGTCATCCAGCTTGACCATCTGATCAACTGATTGCATGATATGACCAGCAGAAGCTGCTGTGGATCTTGCCTGAAATACCCACAGGTTTTGAGACAACTGGGCAGCACCATTGAGAACTGCAATTGATTTGGGCTCGGCCAACTTTTTACACCATACTGATCAGGTTTTCCAGCATCATCCATTATTCAAGACATTTCTTGTTCCAAACTCTTTTTCACTTATAAAAAAAATGTCAAGATGACTTCACACAAGAAATAGATCCTTCACACTGCAAAAACAATTTCATTTAATCTGTTTTTTAACATACAAAATAATATTAAAAATGAGGTCTGCATCTCTCTTGAAAAGGTTTGGACCTTTCAGCTAGAACTTGATACTTGAAGTGAACATTGATGGCTGCATACAAGAGCAAGTAAGTTTTCATTAATGTCCATGGCCTAAAGATCTTAGGCTGAGAGGGCAGAAAAGCAATAAAAGACATTCTTACCAAACCATACATCATCTCATACAGCACCGCTCCAAGGCACCACCAGTCCACGGTCTTGTCATAAGGCTGTTTCCGTAGCACCTCGGGGGCCAGATACTGCAAATTACAACATCGTGGTGAGGAAGGCATACGGGAGTGTTGATGGTGTTGAGAAGGGGGGTTGGTTTCGACTGGAATATTTTTGTACAATGATGTCCAGATGTGGCATCCATAAACCAATCTACATAGTCTTTTAAGTATAAAAAGTGACTGTTGATATGGACACCATATTGATTTGGATAAACGGTATATATGTTACCAGAAACAAGAATAATCAGTGATTATGTATAATGCCTGTTTCATTCAGGGTTATGTTTAATTACTGAAATTTTCAGTAATTAGATATAATCACTGAAATGAAGCAGAGAAATTATACTTGTTTACTGAAAACATATTCTTGGGTATAACTCCTTGTGTTTATATTGTACAATGAACTCTTATACGAAATAATACTGTAACAAGGAAGAACCATGTTTATTAGATTTAATCTTAATTTACAAGACAACATTAGAACGTAAACAATGGTCAACTACATATTAGGAATCTTTGATGATCACAGGCTGAGTCATTTGTGCAGAGAGACTGTTGAACGATACATAGATCATCTTGGTCATGGAAACATTTAACATTCCACAATAGAAGTGTTTGTTTGTTCATTTCAGTGATTATGTCTAATTACTGAAAATTTCAGTAATTAGACATAACCACTGAGTGAAACAGGCATTAGACATAATCACTGAAAATCTCAGTGATTATACATAATCACTGATTATACTTGTTTCCTGTACCATATATACCATCATGGACATTTAGAGAGGGGATCATGAGAGCAAAGGATCATGGGACAAATATAGAGAAAAGGATCATGGGACATATACAGAGGAGGATCATTGGAAACATAGAGAAAAGGATCATGAGACATATACTGAGGGGGATCATAGGAGATAACAGAAGGGATCATGGGAAATATAGAGAGAAGGATCATGGGAGATTCACAGAAGGATCTTGTTGAAGCTGACTCCCTTTCTGTGTTTGTCACCATTATACTAACACTCGAGGATTTCACCCAAGAGACCTGGGCCTAGATTTTCGAAGTTCTCTTAGCGCTAAGATGGTCGTAAGTGCCATACATTAACATTAACTTATGACTATCTTAGAGCTAAGAGAGCTTCGAAAATCTAGGCCCAGGTCTCAGCCCCCAATAAGCTGACATGCCATGATACAACTTGAAAACTGTCTTAAAGGGGCACAAAACACGACTCACTCACTTACTCCCAGCAGATTTGCCAAAAGGTACTAATATGACTTACTGTTGTCTACAAGACTTGGTTACGCTGATATGACTTAAACCTCTATGGTTAAAATGTATAAATGACTAAAAGAAAGGGTTAGAAGACATTCTAAGATTATTTCAGATGGGCATTGGAATCAAGACTACAATATGGCAAATCAAACATAAGTTTGTGGGGTTCTGAGGTCGAATCATGATTCTTGCAGTCAGAAATCTGAATGGCAAGTTGTTGAGAGAGTAGACGACAACCTTACGTTCACTATGGCCAAGCTTCAACTGGGATTGACAGTTAATTCCAAGAAAAGTTGTTGTATTTGTTTCTTTAGCTTCATTCTGAAAATGGCTCGCAATCTCAGAGAATGAACCAACTTTAGGTCACAAATGGGCCTGAAATGACTCATGTTTTTCACCACAGTAAGGATCCAGCTCTGTCTCTCAGAGAGCAGATCGTGGGTGATGTGAAGTATGGGGTGAAGTGGGACTGTAGGGGGATAATGACACGATGAGACACATCATGCAAGAACAGCATCTACATCCATCTTCAGTCTGACCACTCAGCTCTTTTCCGTTCTCCCACATAATCCGAAATACTTCGGTCATTACTAAAGCCAGACATTGTGAACAACAGAAAGAAGCTTCCTTTCTGCTTATTGGGCATCTTTATCATTAACAGGTATTGACTGATTGTGTCAGGGAAGGGTAGTTAAGTATAATCCTCATCAGGAACATGATGAGACTATAGCATGAACTGAGGCAATAGGAGTGAGTGAGTGAGTGAGTGAGTTGGGCTTAACAATACTGTATTGCACTTATATCATGGAGTCAGCTCAATGAGTGAGTGAATTGGCTTATAACAATGCTTTTAGCAGTATTCCGCCAATATCACAACTGGTGACACCAGAAATGGGCTTCACACATTGCATCTGTGTAGGAAACTGAACGTGGTGCTTCGGCATGAAGAGGCCACCCCACAACCCTGCTGAATGAGGAGGGGAAGATCGAAAGAGATGCATGACATTTACCACTTTGGGTGAAATCCACGAGTACTGGTATGGTGCCTACAAACCTGGAAACATGACCAGGATGATCCAGGATTTGAATACTGCCCAAGGGATACAACTCCGCGAATTGCATCACCTTTAACCAATTGGGTACCCATGTCCCCTAAATTGGAATACACATATGGTTGAAAGTAATATTATTTAGAATACTAAATCTCCAGCATGATTCCACCATGTATCAATAACGTACAGGATTTTACAAGCTGAAAATATGTAGTACCCTTGACCTTCGATCTTGAGAGTTACAAAGGTGCTTCTAGTGTGATAGGTCCAGTGTGCTCCATTATGGACACAACTCATTACAATGGCTGAGCAGCTACACCAGTGTGTACAGACAAGAGGAGCTGGAGGTGATTGATTCTTGGACCACACCCGACTGTTAACTATATTACACAATATCAGGGTGCTTTTATTTCCACACATATAATTAGATTAACTTTTTTGCTGCACAAATAATGGGTTCAATCATTGTGAAAGAAATGCAACTCACTCACTCACTGTGTATTTTCACATTAAGTGAGTGAGAGAAGTTTCTAACTTTCATTAATTAAAGAAATTATGGCTTTTTAAAGAAAAATGGCATCTATTTGATAAGTAGAAATCAAAATACCAGTAGATTATATGACCCACAGTTTGACAACTTATTATGAAACATAAAAAAATCCTATGCAATAACCTGCAAGGTCACTATAAAGCCAAGCTATCTTGAAAGCAACATAATCATAAAAGCATAAAAATGCAACCAGTCTTGATAATATCATTTCTTCTCTATAGATTTATCATTCTTCTATTAATAACTGCAAACCATATTCATGAATAAAGATCTTATGAGAGATTTATGCACAGATTATTACAGAAACCGATGCTCGGCAAAAGAAAATTCCAACAACAGACATGATGACTGATCAGTGACCCTCTACGATCTGTCCAGCTCAGATGATCGGCGACGTTCTTGCTTGTCATCACATCAGAAATATAGAACAATCATACAGAATATTTAGTTACCCTGGCTACTATTGGAGAAGTGACATTCCCGACTGCTGCCATCAAATCAGATACAAACATGGCAGGGGACATCGCTCAAACTATGTCACACGTCACAACTGACGTCATACACAGCATCCTGTCATAGGGAATTTACAACCAAGACAAGTGACACGTATTTATCCCAGAATTCCTTGTTATGTTCGGACCACACACAGCGAAGATGATGCTTCATACGTCTCCCATCAATATCGTGCTGCTTATTGCTGGGTTTGCCGGACAACCAAATCAATAACTAGATGACTCTCCGTTTTCCATCTCTTATGGCCTCATGGACATATTTTGTTTCAGCCATTTTTTCTGTATTTATATCACATTTTTAAATGATAGGACTTTGTAGATTAGTTCAATAAGGAAAGTGACAGTGATCTGTCTCACCACTTGCACGTGCTGTCTCACAAAACCTGATTTATTAGTTTCGTGAGGAATATTTTTCACAATATTGATGGGAACGGTAAAATAAATCGTGACTTCAGTATTTATATTTAATGCCAGCCAACATTGCTAATGCATTTCTGTTGTCTCTGATCTCAAATGACAATTTTCAAATCATGTGCACATAGAAGTGTTTGCTTCTGAAATTAGTTCAGCCAAATATGCATCAAAAAGTTTTCTCTCCACCTAACAACCTGGCAGTCTAATGTTTCTGTCATGTTCATTTCTGTGTGACTTGTTCGAGATACAAGCTATTGAGGACTCTTTCACAAAACAGTAATTAGGTATATTGCGTGTGAATATACTTTGAATACGGTGGCATGTATTTTGTGGTATATGTGTGCTAAAGACTTAGGGGAGGTAACTTGAGTGAGTGAGTGAGTGAGTGAGCGAAACACGGCTTTGAGGAGTATTGCAGTAATAGGTCAGCTTCATACAGCAGTAACGCCTCTTGCAGAACGTAGATGATAACATTTTGATGATCCCCACAAGTGCTGACAAATCTAGACACAAAATCCGGGTAAACAGAACACAAGTGAACGAGGGAATTGTCATAGGTGGATCCATAAATTTTCAAAAGGGGGGGTTGGGGGTGGTTCAGCCATTGCAAATCATTAACTTCAATGTGGTCTTTAGTCATTTTCAAATGGGGGTGGTGGGGTGTTGAACCCCCTGAACCCCCCCTCTGGATCTGCCACTGATTGCGACACCTTAAACAACCTGGCCAGCGGTGCAGAATACATACAACTGGATATTCGTGACCTGCTCACCTCAGGAGTGCCACAGAAGGTGGAGGTCGTCCCCATTCCTTCAATTCCTTCCTTACACAGTCCGAAGTCTGTCAATACTACATGACCCTGAAACAAAACAAACGACATCATGAAAACGTATTTTAGGCTACAATAAATTAAGCAGTATATTTTTTTTAAATGCACAAAAGCTGTGATTCACATACAGGGGCAGATATAGCTTTTTGAGAAAGGGGGGTGCACAGTTCATTTTCATCCATTTTCACGAGAGTTTCAATGGTCATTTAATAAACTATGCACATACAGCATGAATGTTTAACATGTTATATTCTGAGTAAAGGGAAAAGAAAAATAACATAAATTTTCTTTGTCTTTGGATAATTGGGACAAAAATGTGAAATGGGAGGGATAAAACTACAAATAGCCAATGGTCATCTACACCATGAATATGCATTCAAAAGGTAATTCGTTGACTGCAAATCAACAGCTGTAAGCACACGATTACCATGTGTACTATGTTTTATCTTCAAACCGAGCACTAATGATAACATTTATTACCCTAAATGTGGGTAACAGGCAAGGGAGAAGTGAGTGAGTGAGTTTAGTTTTATGCCGCACTCAGCAATATTCCAGCTATATGGCGACGGTCCATAAATAAGAGTCTTGACCAGACAATCCAGTGATCAACAGCATGAGCATCAATTCAACCAATTGGGAACCGGCGACATGGGTCGTCATATGAGGAAGCAAGCCTGACCACCTGATCCAGTTAGTCGCATTCTTACTACATTTCATGGGTTACTGAAGATCAATTCTAACCCCGATCTTCACAGGTGGCAAGGGAGAAGGTAGCATGTGTGTCCATTACCAGTAGTATCATATTGATTCCCCTGGAAAATGAAACCTATATCAACTACAAGCACGCCATTATTTCATATTTAATATAAAATCACTGCTTTTAGCCTCCTATGAAATTTCATTTAAATATTAACAGAAAATAAGAAATCCAAGCCCATGGAGAGATGACATATCACAGCAGAATGTATTTGCGGCTAATGTGACACAGATCAGGTGAATTTGGAAGTCATTATTGAAATATGTCTGATCACGCCCAGTATGAAGATGTATTTTCAGAACATATTTGTGATGGATGTCGGAATCAATGTCAGGCTTTACTGAGCATGAGGTTTCCTGTATGAGTGAGTGAGTAAGATTTTATGCCACTTTCAACAACATTCCAGCAATATCATAACTGGGACACCAGAAATGGGCATCACACATAGTACCCATGTGGGGAATCAAACCCAGGTATTCAGTGTGATGAGCTACCACCTTAACCACTAAGCTACCCCACCAAACCTTCCTGATATCAGAGAATCCCTTCTGTACAACCACACTGGAAAACAGTCCATCTGAATTTATATACAGATGAGAGAGAGTTGGGTTGAACACAGGTTGGACCAGTATTCCAGAGTGTCAGCTTGAGGTGGGAGGAATCCCCAGCCATCAAGTTCCATTACCTCCTCGCGCATACGGTGACCCAGAAACATAGTCGCAAACCAAGATTTCTTTTGCAACTGTGTAGCTTAACCGCAGCACATGTAAGGATTAACTCCCCCAACCCCCATCGCGTCCCATTGTGTACAGATGAGCACATCAAGTAAGATGATGAACTCTTCTGAAAAGTGAATGAGCCATGGTTTCAGTAATCAGCCCTGAGTAGCATTTGTGGAGCAATAGACTAATCTGAAGCCCATGTCACTGAATCTCCCCACCTCTATTGGTGAATTATGGGGGCTTAACTACCTAGGTCTTACGCATAGATATTGCCAACTGAATGCTCTACACCTCAGCTTCTTTCAAAGGATTAACCGGCAATACATTGATTGATTGCCCATTATTGGCTAACTAAATTACTGTTTTAAAGAGAAGGCGGACATTATGCAATTAGTTGCCAGGTGTGCTATCTTGGGTGACCAATGAGACTATACGCCAATACCTGAAAAGATTGATCACTTTTTCGTATATTAAACTGTTAAAAGACTCATCATTTGGAACAGTTTTGTGGATATTGATGGATACATTCCTCGAACAAGGTAATGGCCTGATATTGTTCCTATAACTTTAATCTGTTTTAATTTTAATATTTGCATTTTGATTTTATTCATTTGTCGTAGCATTCAACATAAATCATTGTTTTCGCCGTGAAGTGTAATGAGTCAGACAACATGCACTAGGGTGTGTGTGCGAATTATGATTCACATTGGCAAACTATAAAATGTCTAGATATTACAGTTCTGTTATAAATTCACAATAAGTATCAGCAGATCGTCTGCTTTTTATTTAGTTTCAAAATGCATACAAGTATGATAATAAACTAATTAGGATTATAAGACCAAATATAAAGACGCACATTGACTAGTATCTACATACTGGTGAGTGGACATTAACCATGGGAATGTAGCAAGAAATTTATTGCGCAGTATTGTGACTTCGACCCCCACCTGGCTTCCGTGGAAGAAATCGTTATGTTATAAGTTGTGTCATGCAAAATCCGTTTGGTTATGATTCCAATACATATTTAACAACGAGTAGAAAGTAGTCTTGATTATCTAACTTGATGAAAACAAACTATAATCTCATTAATTCTAACAGATTTCTTTATTTTTAAAAATGGCGGCGCCCTATCGGGAACATCCGCCAGTCTGAGGATAAATGGCATTTAGGTTTGTTTTCACCGAGTTACAAAATCAAAACTACTTTCTACTGGTAGTAAAATATGTATTTTATTGATGGCCAATAGGATTTTGCATGACATAGCGTCATATAACATAACAATTCTCTCCTGGCAGCGAGGTGGGTGTCAATATAATACTACTTACAATATTATTGTTACTTCGACCACAACCTCACTTCGAGGAAGAAATCGTTATGTTACAAGTTGTGTCATAGAAAATCTTTATGGTCATCAATCATATGCATATTTTACAACAACTAGTAAGTAGTTTTGATTCTTTAACTTCCGTGAAGCGATCTGAACACAAGTAAGATATCGTTTCAGGCTTCCTGGCAGCTAAAGCGCGCTCACAAACATAACCGATTTGCTTACGAACTTCGGGGTCCTGTCGAAATCTGTGCATGGGGACACCATCGCCCGACCCTAGGAGCAATTGGCGACAAAGCAGCGATTCGGCATGTCATCGTTGATGTCGAGAAATCATCAAAATGATGAGTGTGCTACACATTTTCTATACAACTAACTGAAAATCGTTCCTCATATGACGTCACTGCAGTGCTCTGGCGACAGAGTTACGTAACCTGTCTGTGGTTTTGTTGGCGGAGAGGAAGCAGGCGACTTTTTGGCCACTTTTAATCGCTCGGTATTAATTAACCACAAGTTTTTAAAGAATAAATTTGGTGTTCCGCATAAGACTAACCACAAATCTTTCATATGTAATGGTTAAAAGAGTAACAAAAAACAAAGTTTAGTGGTTCTTTAATCTTCAAACCGAGCACTAATGATAACATTTATTACCCTAACTAAATGTGGGTAACAGGCAAGGGAGAAGTGAATGAGTGAGTTTAGTTTTGCACTCAGCAATATTCCAGCAATATGGCGGCAGTCTGTAAATTATCAAGTCTGGACCAGACAATCCAGTGATCAAAAGCATGAGCATCGATCTACGCAATTGGGAACCAATGACATGTGTAGCCGTTAGTCGCCTCTTACGACAAGCATGGGTTACTGAAGATCAATTCTAACCCCGATCTTCACAGGTGGCAAGGGAGAAGGTAGCATGTGTGTCCATTACCAGTAGTATCATATTGATTCCTCTGGGGTATTTAAAATGAAACCCTATCAACTACAAGCTACGGCATTATTTTATATTCAATATAAAATCACGTTATAGCTCTCCTATGAAATTTCATTTAAATATTAACAGAAAATAAGAAATCCAAGCCCATGGAGAGATGACATATCACAGCAGAATGTATTTGCAGCTAATGTGACACAGATCAGGTGAATTTGGAAGTCATTATTGAAATATGTCTGATCATGCCCAGTATGAAGATGAATTTTCGAACATATTTGTGATTGATGTCGGAATCAATGTCAGGCTTTACTGAGCATGAGGTTTCCTGAGTGAGTGAGTGAGTGAGTGAGTGAGTGAGTGAGTGAGTGAGTGAGTGAGTGAGTGAGTGAGTGAGTGAGTGAGTGAGTGAGTGAGTGAGTGAGTGAGTGAGTGAGTGAGTGAGTGAGTGAGTGAGTGAGTGAGTGAGTGAGTGAGTGAGTGAGTGAGTGAGTGAGTGAGTGAGTGAGTGAGTGAGTGAGTGAGTGAGTGAGTGAGTGAGTGAGTGAGTGAGTGAGATTTTCTGCCACTTTCAACAACATTCCAGCAATATTATAACTTGAGACACCAGAAATGGGCATCACACATAGTACCCTTGTGGGGAATCAAACCCAGGTATTCAGTGTGATGAGCGACCACCTTAACCACTAAGCTACCCCACCAAACCTTCCTGATATCAGAGAATCCCTTCTGTACAACCACACTGAAAACAGTCCATCTGAGCTATATACAGATGAGAGAGAGTTGGGTTGAACACAGGTTGGACCAGTATTCCAGAGTGTCAGCTTGAGGTGGGAGGAAATCCCCCAGTGATCAAGTTCCATGTTTACCACCGTGCATACGGTGACCCAGAAACATAGTCATGCAAACCAAGATTTGGGATTTGCAACTGTGTAGCGAACCGCAGCACATGTAGTCCCAACTCCCCCCAACCCCACGTGCCCCAGTGTACAGATGAGCACAACCGCAAGATGATGAACTCTTCTGAAGGCGATGTGAATGAGCCATGGTTTCAGTAATCAGCCCTGAGTAGCATTTGTGGAGCAATAGATGGCGATGGATGAAGCCCATGTCAATTTCATTCCCCCACCTTCCCCATATTGGTGAATTATGGGGGCTTAACTACCTAGGTCTTACGCATAGATATTGCCAATCGTCTGAATGTCGACACCTCAGCTTCTCAAGATCACTTATGTGACGGAATTACACGCAGGTTCTGAGGTCACTGCATGTTCTTTCACAGAACTGGCAGATGCCAATAAACTGTTATCAGGTTATTAATCTTGAGTGGAGAATCTTTCAATAAAACCCTTGGCCATTTTATCAACAGTGAGTGAATGAGTGAGTGAGTGAGTGAGTGAGTGAGTGTGAGTGAGTGAGTGAGTGAGTGAGTGAGTGAGTGAGTGAGTGAGTGAGTGAGTGAGTGAGTGTGATATATACTACTCACAAGAAGTTAAGGAACACCTGATTCTTTCATATTGCATAGCAGATTACCTTTACTAATATAATAGAATCTGGTTTTCTTTGACAACTTTCAAGATGGCTTGCACAAAATGACCTCTTGGCCAGTGGTTGATAGAATGAGCAAACAATTGATCACAAATAGTAGAACTACCAGAATACCATTTGTCCCTGATCCCTGTTAGTGCAGGGACCTATGCTGCTGGAGGTCCTGGAGGGAAACCCAACTGGGGAATCTGGCCATGCTGAACACGACTTACTGAAGCATCTCCCATATGTCTTAGTATAACAAGGGACAGTGGAGTAGCTTAGCGGTTAAATCATCGGCTTGACAAGCCAAAGGTCAAGGTTTGAATCCACAAATGAGCAAATTGTGTGAAGCCCATTTCTGTTGTTCCCCAGAAATGTAACATATGCAGCTTAAAATAAACACGCTTGCTCACTCACTCACTAATTCATTCAGTTCTAAAACATATTCCTTTCCCACTCTACTAAAACTTTATTACTAAAGAAGTGAGTGAGTTCAGTTTTACATCGCTATATTCCAGCAAATAATTATTATTAAAAAGAAGTACAAAAATAAAAGTTTAATCTTTTATAAAAGAATTGTCCATGCTAGTCTTTATACCAAGGAGGTAAAGGAGTAGCTTAGTGGTTAATGGTCAAACTTGGCACAACAAATACCTGGGTTTGATTCCAGACATGGGTACAATGTGTGAAACCCATTTCTGTGTCCCCTGCTGTGATATTGCAGGAATATGGCCAAAAGCTGCATAAAGCCTTTGCACTTCATCTCAAGGTCCCCTGCCATGATGTTATTGGAAAATATCCAAGAGTGGCATATTCACGCATACCTTATTCTCAGTCATTTTATCACACAAGCTGATTGACTTTAGTTTTCCCTGGTCACACAATGGTGTCCATATTATACAACCTTCTCTACCACATGTAAACAAGGTCACAGAATTGGAGAAATTACAAGGGAAGGAGTATCTGCATGCGTCATATCAGACAGAATGTGGTGCCTCTCGTATATTTTGCTCCACAGTGTACAGATCAGGGCCTAATACCTGTCAATAAACATGGCCTCTGCACGGTGTGGGCAGTCTTACCATGGCTTCACTAGGCTCTGGGTAAATCATGTACTTTTTACGTGACAAGCTTATCACTGATATTGAAGGAGCAAATTGGTAACATAGCTAGCATTTATCATTGTTAAATTATATCAAATACCACACAGAGCCAAACATTTTGACATAAAGTAATATAAAAAATCCTGGTCTGACATGTGAACTACTTCTTCATGGCTTACCTTGCGTAATCAAATAATGTTTGCATGTCTTAAAATATTTCAATGGATTTTCTGACCATATGTTTCTATATGGAAATAGACTTACCTGGGAATCTAATAATATATTTTCTGGCTTGAGATCTCTGAAAATTGAAAATAAAATGAAATAAGAATGGATTTGTAACTTTAGATAAGTATTGTCTGAATGTAACTTTAATACTCACATGCCATACTTCACATCAAATTTAGACAAAAAACACACATTGTGAAGAAATGAATTTTGTGAAATTACCCAGTTCTGATTTTTAATAATTTAATCGTGCATTCATTTTGTCAGTTACGTCAATGATATTAAAGGAAGGTTGGAATCAAATTTTGAAAGTCAATATACTTTGTCCTTATACAATTCTCTTTAAAGTAAGCCATGTAAACTAGTACAAGTCATGACAGAATGCAGGTGACACTAACCCAATGTTTGTAGCTCACCTGTATATGATATTATGGGAATACAGATAAATCACCCATATCTGAACGATGGTTACTCACTTGTATATGATATAAATGATATAAAGGGAATACAGAAAATGCACATGCATATCATAATGAGGGATTACAGGTAATTCATCTGATGATAATAAGGAAATACAGGTAACTCATTTGTATATGATATTAAGAGAATACAGGTAATGCACCTGTATATGATATTAAGGGAATACAGGTAACTCATCTCTATATGATATTGAGGGAATACAGGTAACGCACCTGTATATGATAATAAGGAACAACAGGTAACTCATTTGTATATGATATTAAGGGAATACAGGTAACGCACCTGTATATGATATTAAGGGAATACAGGTAACTCATCTCTATATGATATTGAGGGAATACGGGTAACTCATCTGTATATGATATTAAGGGAATACAAGTAATTCACCTGTATACGACACTGAAGGAATGCAGGTAACTCACCTGTATATGATATTAAGGGAATGCAGGTAACCTATTGCACTAGCCATCTCTGCTGCATAAAATTTGGCACGTGGTTCAGGGAAGTATCTCTCCCTTTGTAGATGAAAAAACAACTGAAAAATAAATGAGATTAACATCAGTATCGGTGTACATTGATACCCAAAACAACAAACAGGCTGTATCGCCAGGCATCTTGATGAATGCTACCATCAAAAGTTTAGACTCACTTAAAGCACTCACTATATATTATGTATATTTATGCAGTTACATTGAAGATGAATTTCTTCACTAACTTGGGTTAACCAACAGCAAAACTTATGCATGAATTGCAAGAGAATCATGCATCAAATTGCTGAAAAGCATGTGCAAATATCGTGCATGTGAACTGCTGCGTTTTGGTGTAAAGTTTAGTTAAGAATTCACCAATTTTCACTGTGTTTCATCATCTATTGAACTTATGACAATAATCTTTTCAACGTTACGAATTTGCTTTACAAGATATCAGTTCATGTAAACGGTACCTTTAAACAGTATGGAATATTTTGCAAAATCTAGTTCAGAATAGTTTACTGAAGTAAGGCAACATTTACTCTAGTGAGTCTAAACTTTTGATGGGTAGTATATTTCCTTGATGTCTGTTTGTCACATGAATATTTCCTATAGAGCCTAATACCGTGTTAATCTGCATAAAGTAAAATAGTGTTCATTTGCCATGGAACATGCCACTATAAAGAACCTTATCAATCACGCCACATGCCACAAAAGTTACTTTACACCACCATTGCCATATCTGCCATGGAAGAATTAGCAATGGTAGATTCTATAAACTGGAACCTTATCAATCAGGCCACATGCCACAAAGTTATCTAAAATCACCCTTGCCATATCTGCAATGGGAGAATTAGCAATGGTCAAGTCTATAAACTGGAACCTTATCAATCTGGCCACATGCAACAAAGTAGTTTAAAAATTATTACAAGCATAAGGGCAAGGTCATTACTTTCAGTGCATGAACAACCTCTCAACCCCTGTAATAAATGGCTGCTCCCTAGCAACTTCCTTCATTTTACTGTATTGTTTGAGAATCAATGATGAAAACCTTCCTGCAAGCCATCACTTGTGTCTAACAATTCTTGTAGCAAAATGAGCTAAATCACAGCAGCTGGCACTGACAAAATGCAGCAATGCTATTGCTTCAAGATGTTATCATGACATATCTGTTTTCATTTGGGCATTCCTTTGAAGACGGTAACCAAAATGCCCCTAGACGTCCTCACCAACATCTTCTGTATGTCTTCATCACTACGATTCTATTCTATTACTGTGTAGCATTATCGTATGCCCTCATGCCTACAGACAAACCAATACTTGTTTCCTAACCAAACACCGGAATAACTCAATCCAAGAAAGACCAAAACTTCAGGCCTTGTAACACGGAGACCTGGTTCTCTATCACTAGGGATGCCATGATACATCGATATATTCTAAGACGATAAAATTATTGATAGATTCACAAGTGTATCGATATTTAGTTTTGAAAGTATCAGTTTATGTATCGCTTACATTTTGCAATTGTATCATGTTTTTTTATGTTATGAGAGTTAAAAATGATTATTTTTATGCACAAAGATGGGAAATTATAACTTTTAATCTCTGAGAATAAAAAATGCTGATCTTTTCATGGACAATTATAAAATATGAAATATTAATATTCAAAATGTAACTAAATACACAATAATGCTGCAAAAATAGGTATCGTGATACGTATCGAATCGTGACACATATCGATTCATGAAACTTATGTATCGTGACATCCCTATCTATCACAAATGCAGATAATGCCTCTTCCCGATCTCCCAGACTTTACCAGATTCGTGATTCCTTATCATTTCAAGCAGTGTAATAACTAATGGTAAAAAGATCAATCTCTATTGGTAACTAAGGTGACAATTATTATGGGGGCCATTAATTTATGTTACAAACAGAATATGTTTAGTCACTGCCTTTTCATTTTTTTTCAGAACAATTGTTTTTTTCCTGAACAAATACATTTACTTTTTTCAAGGATAACCTGAGGCTAACATATATTGATCTAAAACTAAATCTCTGACCCTATATACTGGCTGGTCAGTAATGCTTGTATATTCTACTGCCCTAAGGAATAGCATTGATTGTATGGCCAGGGGTTGACTCTCAAGAACAGTACAATGTGTGAAACCTATTTCTGGAGTCTCAAGCCGTGGAATTGCTGGAACATTGTTAAAACCATACTCACTCACTCAGGAATACAAATCATGGATGTGTTCCTTATATATTGGCACTGACTTAATCATTCATTCTGAATTCTATATTCTATCCTAAATCTGTCTTTCGAACAGTATATCATAAACTGTATCTTTGAAACTATACATTTTAAAAAACCCAAACACCTGGCCCCTAGCCCATTTTATTACAACACTTCACAAAAAACACACTCTTCCCCCAAATACCTTTTTTCATCAACAACAGGACGTGAGGAGCATCCCACAGAAATTCTGCAGCCAGTATTGACTGAGGCCTGCAGCTTCAGGCTATACATGTTCTAGTTACACACATGAAGCTGCCGAGACATGATGGATTGTTCGTAGTAAATTCCACAATCACTTTGTGAAAACACAACCAGGAACACAACTTGATAGCTCCACAAACAAATAAAAACCACTGACCTCATGTAAATCTGGTTGTAACCATTAGCAAAACTATATCCTTCAAATTTATGAGCTCATCACATCATAAATTACTTGGAATCAATTTAGTTCCACTCTAGTATCAATGTCTGTGTTAAGATTAAGGTAAGGCCATAACAAATAAATTGTCAGATTTTCATCCCTGACTGCCTCACGAAGCATCCACCCCACATAATTTTATTGTTCCTAAGTACCTACTGAAGGGGAAAATGGCTACTAGTGTTCCCCCTATCTAATACATGGAATAACCAAATACATTGCTTTGTTCACTGTTTAAGCATTCAGCAATATTACTACAGTAAATTAGTTAACGAACACTCTTACAACAAGCTGATGTATAATACAAACTGTATATTTGGTCCTTTCCACTTGCGATAAATTTTATTTGAAATGCGCATAACAAACTTCGGTTATAAGAAAGGTAAGATACTTTATGGATGACAACTTATTTTCTTTTGCTTGACAATGGTATAAGAACCTATACCAAAATGTCACATCACAATATAATAAAGAAGTTGTCATCAATAATGTATCTTATCTTTCTTATTATTCATCAAATTCTGAAATGTCAATCAAACAGATAAACTATGGTTATAACGAACTAAAATTAGTGGTTCCCTTATGTTTGTTATAATCATAGTTCACAGATCATGGAGATGGACATGAGTATCAAGCTATGCAACTGGGACACCTTGACATGCATCACCAAGCCTAACTAGCCAATCCTGGGACACCTTGACATGCATCACCAAGCCTTAGCAAGCCTAACTACCCAATCCTGGGACACCTTGACATGCATCACCAAGCCTAACCACCCAATCCTGGGACACCTTGACATGCATCACCAAGCCTTAGCAAGCCAAACTACCCAATCCTGGGACACCTTGACATGCATCACCAAGCCTTAGCAAGCCTAACTACCCAATCCTGGGACACCTTGACATGCATCACCAAGCCTTAGCAAGCCAAACTACCCAATCCTGGGACACCTTGACATGCATCACCAAGCCTTAGCAAGCCTAACTACCCAATCCTGGGACACCTTGACATGCATCACCAAGCCTCAGCAAGCCTAACTACCCAATCCTGGGACACCTTGACATGCAACACCAAGCCTTAGCAAGCCTAACTAGCCAATCCTGTTCTTGGCACCTTACACCAAATAAGCAGACCAGTCACACATGTATGCTTCATGTGAATCAAATACCTCAGCATTTAATGGTCACAGACCCCTTGAACAGTTAATTTACATAAATATCATACAAATCTGTCTCCCATATATGTCACAGTTGTGAAATATGCGGATGAACGTCTCAAAATTTATTTACTGTGGTCTATGAAACAGTGAGGAGAGTCTAATTTTAATTTGAGTGAGTAAGTTGGGTTTAGCACTGTTTCTAGCAATAGGCCTATCCAGCTCTATGTTGATGTGTGCCACAAGACAATAACTTTCATTTTGTAACCATGTGGGGAACAGAACCCAGGGTCTTAATCATGATGAGCAAACACCTCTAACCATTACACTAACCCACTGCCCTTAAATTTGAGAGATAAATGTGAAACTCATACTTTAATCAAACTAGTTAGGTTTTATGCCCTCTCTAGCAATATTCCAGCAAAATAATGGCAAGGGACAACAGAAATGAACTTTAACATTGTCCCCTTGTGAGGAATAGAACCTGGACCTTCATTATGACAAACAAACACCTTTAACTATTAGTTATGCAACTGCTCTTGTTACTTAAAAGAGTAAGAAGAGGAGTGAGGAAACACCTGAACGATATGAAACTGATATATGTAGGCATGGGATTCAAGCCAGGCACTGACCACTTTACTCAAACTGACCACAGCATATTTACTGTGCTGACAAACCAGCAAGGCTTTGACCAAACTGACCAGAGGCCCGTTTCACTAAGCGATCATAGCACTAAGATGATCGTAACTACCATATTTTAACATAGATTTCGACAGTCTGGCGCTACGATGATCGTAACTACCATACTTTAACATGGATTTACGACTGTCGTAACACTAAGATGATCGTAACCCCCATACTTTAACATAGACTTACGACTGTCGTAGCACTAAGATGATGGCAACTACCATATTTTAACATTGACTTACGACTGTCGTAGCACTAAGATGATCGTAACTACCATATTTTAACATTGACTTACGACTGTCATAGCACTAAGATGATCGTAACTACCATATTTTAACACTGACTTACGACAGTCGTAGCGCTATGATCGCTTTGAGAAACGAGGCCCTTAAAGGTAATATGTTGGGTTATCATAGATCATAATCTGAAAAATATCATAGATTCAAATCCACAACCAGAATTAGGTTGTTTGTGGCCCTTATGGACAATGAGCAAGAGCTTGTACCACTGTGCTACACCACACAAGATGAAGGAAGAGAAGAGAACAAGACAATATCTGTCCTCACCGAGTCTAATCTCATTTGCACTGGCTCAGCTGTCTTAATTCAAACTCACATGGGATTCTCAGCTCTAACATCAACAAAATGACGCCAAATTCAAACCCCCAAAACTATCATTGAATTACCTCGCCACCATTGACGTAGTCGAGGATGAAGTAGAGTTTGTCTGGGGTCTGGAAGGAGTAGTGGAGGCCGACGAGGAAGGGGTGTTTCACGTTCTTCAACAACACATTCCGTTCGGCCATAATGTGTTTGACCTCATTGCGCTTCATAATAGCCTGCTTCTGTAACACCTTGACAGCGTAAACTTTAGCCTCCGCACGATGTTTGGCCAACAGCACCTTGCCAAAACTTCCTTTGCCAATCACTTTTAAGAATTCAAAGTCACTGGGACGAACACTGAAAAGCAAGAAAGAAACAACTCTGAGTGTTTGTTTGTGAAATAAAGCCACAATATTTCAGCTATATGAAAGCGGTCTGTTTACAGTCTGGACCAGACAATCCAATGATAAAACTCAAAACAAGGATAAAAAAACAAGCTTTACTGATTTGTTGACAGGAGAGTAGTATCAATATTGTATAAAGACAATGAAACAAAAACACTCTCCACTGATGATGGTGTACACACTATTGGACCGAAGGACTTTCATGATTTATCACTTACAAGTGTCATGTTTTTCTATTCAGCAGCACAAAATAGATGATACTCAATGGATTTGATACAGCACACTTTCATCAGGGTTTTTTAGCTTTTCTTGGGTCCATGAATACTATTTCCCACTGTTTGAAGAAGACAACATTCTAAAGCGGAGAGAACACTGAATCCCAGAGACATGTTACAGAGAAACAAAGGTCTTCTTTGCATGTCTTCGATACAAAAGAACACTTACCTTGTCTTTTCACTCGGTCCCAGATTAACTGGGTTGGCATCTTTCCCATTCTGGAAAATAAAAACACAAAATGTACAGACCTATCAGGAATAAAGTGGCTGTAAGTGTAAAATAACCAACATATGATGCGAGCTGAAACTGATAATGAAATGTAAAGCAGTTCCTCGCCACAGTATTTACATGGTGCAATCTGAAAAACATGCAGCCACGCAAACCTGTGACATAAACCAATCTTCCTGGGATATTCTTCCAGTTCTACAAAATCAATCCGTGTCTGCCTATCTTTCTTTCTGACCCCTTCTGAAGTGAATGAGTGAGTGAGTGAGTGTGAGTTTGTGAGTGAGTGTGAGAATGAGACAGAGAGAGAGAGAAATATGTGTGAAACTGTGTGAGTGAGTGAGGACTAGACTTTATGTCACTTTTAGCAACATTTTGTTTAAAAATTAAAGTCAAATTAGCTGATATTCATCAGTCTCTGAAACAAGAAAACTCCATGATGCGTGAAGTGCCACATGGTAAGATTGCTCAGCTTGAGGCACTGTCTTTATCAGCTGATCAACATCAACAAATACACCTTCAACCTATAAAAAGACAGATACATAAATCATAACAACCCATTTAACAAAACTGAATCTTTTTTTCAAAATGGAGTGTTACTTTTGTCATGATTTTCAGACATTGATGAGGTGAGGTGAGGTGAAATTGGGTTTAACGTCGTGCTTGAGAATATTTCGCTCATATGACGAAGTGCATGTGTGTGTATGTGTATGTGCGGCTGCTTGTACTAGCCCAGACTGATGCTGGTTTTATAGTGCTAGCCCACTGAGATACCATGCCGCAGTGAAGCATGAATACCCCACTCAGACACATTATACTGACTCCCAGCCGACCAGTCCTTGTTGTACCCATTAATGCCGGGCGTCAGGCAGGGACCAACAAGTACCATATTTTTAACGTCTTTTGGTATGACGCGGTCGGGGGTCGAACCCGCGACCTTCCGCTCTCCAGGCGGACGCTCTAACCACTACACCACGGAGGCGGTCAGACATTGATGAACTCCCCTGAGGTAGTGTTGTTTCCCTACACTCGCCTGAGGTCGGAACCATACAATATACCGACATTCACTGGGAAATAAACGACAGTTGGCCTGGTAGTGTTTATCCAGACAAGGTTATCTAAGACTGTCAATATTCACACTTGGGAAACATTTACATGCAACACACTTTGATTGATGAATTATTTTTTAAAAGACGTTTTGTCTTTCTTCTGGCCAGATGATCCTTATTAGGCAGAATGGGGTACTTGAGACCCCAAATTCTGAGATGATTCAGGTTATGGGGGACCTTATCTCTAAATGGAGCAAGGCTGAGTGAGTGTGAGAGGGAAACAAAAATTGATGCAGATCTAAGACATTTTTCACTGTAGTGAAACTGATGAGCATGTGGATATTGCTAACAAACCAAGGATAAGTTTCTGCATTAATCTGGGACTCATTGAAGGGAGAGAACTCTGCACAGTAAATTGCAACCCTTCCCATGTTTGTAGTTAAACACCACAATCAGGATTATCTGAGCTATATGATGGCGGTCTGTAAATAATAAAGTCCGGACCAGAATACCAGTGATTGATATCATGAGCATTGATCCTAGCAATTGGGTTATGATGACATGTGGGGTGGTGCGGTAGCCTAGTGGTTAAAGCGTTCGCTCGTCACACCGAAGGCCTGGGTTCGATTCCCCACATGTGTACAATGTGTGAAGCCCATTTCTGGTGTCCCCCGCCATGATATTGCTGGAATATTGCTAAAAGCGTCATAAAACCAAACTCACTCACTCACTCACTATGATGACATGTGTGAAACAAGTCAATGAGCCTAACCACCCGATCCTGTTAGTCAACTCTTACAATAAGCATGGTTTGCTGAAGACAAGAGGCTCCATCCATACTTAGATGAGGGAGGAGTGAGTGAGTTTAGTTTTACGCCACTTTTAGCAATATTCCAGCAATATCAAGGTGGGAACACCAGAAATTAGCTTCACACATTGTACCCATATGGGGAATCGAACATGGGTCTTCGGCGTGACGGGCGAACGCTTTAACCACTAGGCTACCCCATCGCGCTGGATGAGGAGGAAGGCTTCCTGATATGACATAAGAGCAGATTAGGAGGAATGAGTGAGTTTAGTTTTATGCCACTTGTAGCAATATTCCAGGAATATCACAGCAGGGGACACCAGAAATGGGCTTCACACACTGTACCCATGTGGGAATTGAACCCAGATCTCTGGTGTGACGAGCGAAGGTCTTAATCACTAGGCTACCCCAGCACCCCATATTAGGAAATGAGGAAGATGATGATTTATATGCGAATGCAGATGCAGAAAAGGGAAGTGAACAATTTGCCACTGATTCACTAGCACATGGATCAGACAAACAATGAATAATAATCACGGCAAATTACGGATTAGAACTTATTGATATAGGATCTGGATATGTCTGAGAGATGCAAAGGGTTAAAAGAATAGACAATCCAGAGACGTCTGCCATCATCAGTGCTGCATACAACATACATGTGGAGGGTCTGTAACGGCCATTTATCAACTTCCCCACACAACAATGATCTGTTTCTGAATGCAATCAACAGCACCATGTCTTCCACAACATCAATCACTGAATTAATGTCAGACAGGACACATGCTTGATGGAAAACCACAGTGAGGGCTGGTGTTAATACAGTGCATTATAATCATTAGGTTGTGCATCGTGTGCATGATATCCTGCAGTCAGACTTCCATAGCATGTCATGCCAATCCCCAAAATTGAATCATTAATTCCTAAGAGACTCAGAATTACTGTCGGAGGATCAAATTTTCATTCTCTGAATTAGATCATTTTGCATAAAATTGCTATCAAGTAAAATAATTCAACTTATTGAGGACTTATTTCAGTGATATTTTCATGTTACAACAGTCCTTTTGAAATTCACTATTTACAAATGTTCAAGAAATAACAGAAAATAGTAATACTTTGAGAAAGGGCAAATCTTATTCTTATTCTCATAAATGTAAAACTCTTTACCTGAAAAAAACCACCCCTCCTATATTTTTTTCAGTTAGGGACCGTTCATAATTTATGGCTAGGGTTGGTGGTGATAATTTTTATGGAGCAGCATGTACAAGGTGAATGACACCCCCCACCCCCCCACAAAAAAAGTTTGTACAAACTAAGTGACCTCCCCTTGCATGTCATGTACAAAATCAATGACCCCCCTCTCCTTCCCATAATTTCTAAGCATAATTTTAAACATAATTTTATGTACAAAATTGCTGAACCTAGTACCTAGTACCAGTACTAGTACCAGTACCTAGTATGTGTGTACAAAATTGCCATTTAGAGAAGTGAAAGAGCTTATTTTTGCTACAAACCTGACCAATGGTGGATCGGGTTTCCACCCTTGATTACTAGGGCAGAAATCAGTAATTCGAGATGTATTGCTTTTTCTTCAGAGTGAGATGATGATATTAGCATTACATATAATTAATCAGGATAATTAATGTCATGTCCATAATCTTGATAGGACAATATTGCTTATCAGTTTCCATAATATGACAGAATTTATAATTACTTATTTTAATAAATGTCAAGTCCTAAAATACTTTTTCAGGAAATATATGAATGTACTCTATAAGCAAACTGAGATGTATACTAATAGTTTCAAAATACTATGAATTGTGTATTATATCAACATACTATTCTCTTCAAAACAAATTAACGTTGAGAACTAACTGCACACTAGAATACCAGATCCTCAGATCAACTTCTTCTGCTGTGATGTAAGCATTCCTCTGCACTCAAGTAGTACTAGATTACAGTGGCTTCTGCCCTACTGAAGCATTACCCATCAATATCTACTTATGTGGTGAGGCATAACGAGCACAATCAATATAAGTAATCCCCAAATCTACTGTACAGACACAAGCTGAGTACAAGCAGCACCACATCAAAGCACTCTTCTTGATGGTGTTGTAATGTTCATTCACCCAAGGAAACATTGTCTGGATTGTGACTTTAACTTCAAGGACACTTCATATTTGAGACATCAGTCATTAGGAGTTGCCGCAGCAAAGAGTGAGTGAGTGAGTGAGTGAGTGAGTGAGTGAGTGAGTGAGTGAGTGAGTGAGTGAGTGAGTGAGTGAGTGAGTGAGTGAGTGAGTGAGTGAGTGAGTGAGTGAGTGAGTGAGTGAGTGAGTGAGTGAGTGAGTGAGTGAGTGAGTGAGTGAGTGAGTGAGTGAGTGAGTGAGTGAGTGAGTGACATTTTGTCAGTTTGGGAAACTTTCTTAGAGAAGGATTTGATGGAATATCAGTTCATCTCATCCTATATTTCTCCACGGCTTGCTTTTTGGTAAATCTACCCAAGGTCTGGATCCATACCAGTGGTTCTTGTGATCTCAAATTACCTGCCTTTGATTTTCGTGAACATTTTACTGACCTTTCAAATGTTGAGATAAGGAAAAAGGTAATTGGTAAGAGAGGACTTTGGTTTACTGAAATTTAGCCCTGTGATATAGAGAACAATTTCATCTCATAATAATATATTACCTATTACACTGAGATATAAATGGCTACCAGTGCATGGAACCACTCACTGGAAGCTTGGACCACGGTGGCCTTGATCAATCACAGAGAGTGTAATGTTTGCTGTTTCTTGTTGAAACTTACTTTTTTGCTGAAGGCACATTTATGTCCAAATAAATTGCAATTAGCGTTAGAGAATTAGGGAACGGATACACATCAAAACTTCCAGCCTATACTGACAATGAAAACCAAAGGCCTCTTGACAACTCATAAAACTATGTCAGTTTTCACATCAAAATTAACTCCAGTTGAGTCAGTGCAATGGATAGAATGACATTGGTAGCTATAAATTCCAATGACATTATTAGCGAACTCCTGTGACTGAGGTAACAGAGTGCACTGATTAGATAGAGAAAGATAAGCTGTATTACTTTACAGAATGACAAAATGAACTTGTATCATAAACAAACAAAAA